AAGCTTGCAAGACCATGGTTTCCCCCAGTACAGAGGAGGAGAGGAGGTTTGTATCACTTTTTGGCACCAGAAATCCAGGTTTTGTTTAGTTTGGAAGTGCCATGGATGTGGCTCAGGTAAGTCTTCAGGGTGGTAAAAGTTCAGTACTCATAAGGTAATTCTCACTCGTTTATCCTTAACTGCCAAAGGAAAGTAATTCCAAGTCCCACAGGGTGTGCCAGGCTGAAAAATGTGGAATCATCCCAACAGCCAACTTCTTGCTTCTCTGAACCTCCCTGTGATGAGCACGAGGCGTATTTCCAAACCAACACAGCCCTAAATGAGGGAATAACAATAATATCCTTGTCCATGCTGACTTATTCCAAGTACAAATGAGTCTTTAGGCACAGGAGCTACTGATGGTGTTCACACACCAGCTCCACCACGGGGAGCAGGGGATGAAATCTGGCCTGGCCACCTCATCCTCCCCCTCTGCTTAATTTTGGCCAAAAAAGCATAAAGCCATGGCTGTGCTACAAAACACTACAGCAACCAGGCAGTGAAATAATTTCTCATAAGGGGCTGCTCCAGCATGGCAGGGCCTGGTCTGCCAGAGGCATCCATGCAATGCTGATGCCGATATCCTCATTAAGGGCTAACGACCCCCAGCACTCCCTGTGCACTAATGACCACGGGAGCTGCGCCTTGAAGTCATGTGTGACCTGGGAGAGACCAGCACCAGGTGCCTTTTATTACCTTTGCAACACAACAAAAGGAATTACACCCAGTAAGGAAGCGTTTTCCTTCTTCCCAGGGAGTGAGGAATGGAGTAATAAACCAGCAGCATATTGTGGGAGCGAGTTCACAGAGAAAAAAAATATAGTTCAAGGGGACCCTGATCTTCACCAACACAATTTAGGACATTCGACACTCCCTCCGACCTCCACTGCCTTCGCTTGAGCAAAATTAGGAGGAATAGACTATGGCACGTAGGTCTGTTGGCTTGGAGGGAAAGGGGCCCCACAGTTTTGCTCCCTGGAGGCACCCGCTCTCCCCACCCCTTTTGTGTGTATTTTTTTTAATGTGCCACACATCAGCACAATGCTGACAAGGGCTTTGTATGTTTTCTGCCTATGCAGCAGTTCAAGACACACAACTCTGGATTTTTTGAAAGGGGAAAGGGGGAGGGAGCTGCCCTTTGCTGTGCTGGTTAATTGCGCGGTTCGCTCTTCTACGTGACCACAGGGAAGGGAAAAAGCACCGACGTTTAAACACAGAACCATTTTTAGCAGCCAAAAGGGTCAAACTCAGTCTTCTCACAAGATGCAGCAGAGCTCAGAGTAAAATCTACCACAGTCAAGAAAAGAATTATAAATCACCAGAGTTTCTTCTCTGGAGTTGGATGGGACCCCAGAAAACAGCTCATCCATCCTCGCTCACTGCAGTTACAGCCTTCACGTTTCCACACCTGCCAACGCAGGGATTCCAGCCCTGAAAAAATGGAGGGAAAGGGTCTGGAAAGCTGGACTGTCAGTTTTTCCACCTGCCAGGAGCAGCTCAATGGAGCCTGGGTGGCTCAGCTCCAAGGAGCAGCGAGCAGAGCACGTTACCAGCCTTCTGGAGTTCCCATCTCACACGCACATGCGTGATATGGACAGCGCTGGCAAACAGCTTCCTTCAAAAATAAGGATGACTAATCCCCAGCAGTGCCACTTCATTTATTTATTTTTTTTAAAAGGCCACAAGGCAGAGCTTTTTCCAGAAGCATCAGCCTTTGTGAACCAGCAAGTGGTGGGAAGGGGAAGCCCTGGGACCCACTCATGGTCTCCAGACAGAACTAACCACAGGAATACTGTGGGGTTTTGCGGCCTGTGTACGACACACACAGACACGGATGGAGCCCCACACTCATGGAAAGGCTGGATCCCACTGCCCAGGAGACTTGCAGACCCCTTCATGGTTAGTAGGGATCTGATGGGGAGAGGGGTTACACAAACAACCCACTATTTCCCTAGAAAATTAAAAAAAAAAAAAAAAGAGAGAAAAAATAAGGCATGAAACAGCTTTACCCACTGTAACACTGTAACATCCCCCCGGTGAGGGAAGGGATGCATGGAGAAAAAGGGGTGCAGGGATCTGGGATGAAGAGGAGCATCTGCATTGCCTGGTGGGCCCAGCCCCCCCAGCAAGGTCACTCTGGCTCCCAGGGAGACACATCAGAGCTTCAATGCAAAGCTGTGGTCGAACTGCAGCGGAGGCAGCGCTGCAGGAGGTCACTCGGGGACTGCAAAGAGGGAATGGATTAAAAAAAGGGAATAAAAAAAATCCATAAGCAGATGTTTACTGATGTGCAGCAAATCCACAGCTTGGCTCTGGAGAGCTGCGTGGTGGGAGGGAGAACTGCCCAGTTCCCAGGACGCAGCAAACAATCTGCATCTACAGATTTAGGTTACAGCTTTTAACCAGCCTCCCTCACCACCCCCCTTAAAAAAACCCAAATTCGTCATCTTTTTAAGCTCTTAGAAATGTAGATTTGCCACGGAGGTGATTTTGGGTGGTGGCACCATTAAAATACTTACCCACCTCACAGCCAAGGGCTGCGCAATCTGAAATTTGTGAGTGTTTGCAAATGGTTTGGAAAGCTTTCCAAGGAAGGTGCTGTAGGATTGTAAATCCTTCCCGTTATTAATAAAAGGGAGCTATTGTTCCAGCTCTAATCAAGCCTTGTCTCCAGCTGGGCAATTTTAAAACGCAATTCAAAACACACACAGGGAAAAAAAGATTGTGAGGAAGCTTCAAAAAAAAAACCCAAAAAAACCCCACCAAAAAATCAGTGAGGGAGCAAGGGGAGGGGGGAAGGAAAATAAAAAATAATACTCCTGCTATTTAAAATGAATTCCAAGCAGAAGCATGCTGGGGTGGGAGGGGAATCCTCCCTCCCACCGCCTGGGAAAGGTCACTTGTGCCATCGGTGCCCTGGCCATGCTGCCAGCCCTGCCCTCATCCATCTCCATCAGCAATAGCTCTGCTTTCCATTTGTTTAGGAAAAAAAAATAATAAAAAAAAATCAAGTTGCAAACACCTCCCAGTGCTCTGTTTTCAAGGCTGGGGGAACGGAGTGAGAGGGAGAGGCTTGGAATGAGGCTCCCAGCCAGGGAGAGGTGGTGCATCCTCCGCATCCTCCTCCTCCTCCTCCTGCCCGGCGCTGCGGCAAAGGCGCCGCAGTGGGGGCTCCCCGCCCCCGTGGAAGCTTCTGGAATAAGCAGCCAAGCTGGAGACAGGAGAGAAACCTTTATACCCGCAGAGGGGAAAAAAACACGTAATAAAAGGGAGAGGATTGCACAAGGCCGGGGAAAAAAATAGAGATCTCTGTAAAAGTGAAGCCCCTGAGCAGCTCTGGCAGCCCCGGCTCGGGGGTGGTGCAGCCCCGCTCGGCTGGAAACAAAACGCCCCAACAACCCACATTAAACAAAAAAAAAAAAAAAAAAAAGAGAGAGAGAGAGAAAAATGGTGGTGTTTGGAGCGCGAGATGGTGGGATAAAGGCGCTGATCCCTCCTCCCGGATCTACAGCAAAGCCGGCCATTGCAGTTCCATTTATCCTCTTTTTCTTGTGCAATGAATTGTCTGATCCGGACTATTCGGTTGCATTTGCAGCTTCACTTACAAGTTTGGTTTTGTGGTTTTGTTGTGCTTTTTTTTTTCCTTTTTGTTTCTTTTTTTATTGGGTTGTTTTGGGTTTGTTTTTTCTTTCCTTTTTTTTTTGGTGTATTTTTTCCTTTTTTTTTCATTAAAAAGTAATCCTCCCCAAATCTCCCAAGGAAAATCTACCTCTTTGTGGAACAAATAAAATATTCAGGCACAAACTTCCGCCATGGACTGTAAAAAAAAAAGAGATGGGTTGTTTTTTGTTCTTTTTCTTTTTTAATTTTTACTTTTTTATGGCATTTTTTTCTCCTGCTTTTAGGATACATTGTAGTAGAAAGCCAATGGAGGAAAACAAAGGTAATATATATATATAAAATCAAAAATATATACGGGCCAAATGATAGTGATTATATATAATTAAATCATAGTTTTTAGGTGTGGGGGTTTATCTTATATTTTAAGCAGTCCCCGTAAAAAGGAGACATACATATAAATATGTAGTCAATATACAGAATATTTATATATGTATGTAGTAAATATATAGAAATATTTCTATATCTGTAGAAATAATAGAGCATCTACATGGGCCTAAATCTGAAATTCCATGGGGAAAAAAGCAGTATTTTAGGCATGTAGCTTTTAACAAGGAAGGGGCAACATTGTAGCCTGTGACAACACTGTGATGCAGACAAAAAGGTAAGGCAACATTAAAAAAATATTAAAAAAAAAAAAAAAAGAAAAAAAAAGCGTATGTGGTACCTTGGCTGCAGCCTCCAACAACGAGCGTGTGGATGTTACGGGATTTTGGTTTTTTATGGTATTACCACGTCTGATCACACCAATATATGATTTTAATTAAGCGAATGGCGGGCGAGCTGTCGTGGGGAGCAGGCAAGCGGCGATGGCTTCTTCCCACACCACTCCGGCTCCGAAGATAAATCAGTCCTCGGGTGTTAGGGGATTTCTCCTTGGTTTGTTTTTTTTCCCCCAAGCACGTTTGGGTATTTTCCATGCCGTGAGGAAAGCGGGAGATGGCGGCTCCGACCCCTGCGAAGGAGAAAAGCGGTGCAAGAGAACAGAATTAGGCATTAAACTACCCACCTTGGGGTGCTTGTGGTGGTGATGATGGGGGACGGGGGTGGGGAGGGGGCGCGTGTGAAAAGCGGAATTCTGGGCCAAAAATGAGGCAAAAGATACAATATTTTAGGGGTAACGGCAGAGCGGGCGGGGAGGGGGGGGAAGCAGCGATGGCGCCTGAGGCGGGGGGAACTGGAGGGGGGAGCTGAAGCGTGAGGGGGAGACGGAGGGCTCCGCCATGGACGAGTGAAAATGCGCATTTCTGGGCATTTTCACATCCTTTTGCAAAGGCGGTGAGGAGAAAAGGGGAGGAGGGAGGGGGGGAAAAAAGGTCAGGTTTCACCCGCAGCGCTTTCGCTGCCTGCCCGGAGGGAATTCGCGCAAGATCAGAGCCCCTCCGCCGTGCTCCTGGCACGGCCTCAGCCCGCGCCCACCACCCCGGCCCCGCAGCCGCCCCTCGCCCATCCTTCCCCTCGCTGCCCGCTCGCCGCCATTTTGTCGCCTCACACCGCGGGCCCGCCGGGCGGCCATTTTGTGAAGTGAGGCGGGGGGGGGGGCAGCGCCTGAGGCGGCCGTGAGGGGCAGCCCCGACCGCCGCTTCTTTTTGTCAGCCAAAAGCCTCCTTTTAGCATTTATTTCTCTTTTTCTTCACAAAACGTGTCGCCCTTAATACGCCATCAGGAGCCTGATCACTTCAGCAAGATCCGTCCTCGGACGAAGCAATCCAATAAATGAGATTAAAGCATATTCCCCAGGCTGGGCTGTAAGGGAAAGTTTAGCTGCCCAGAGAATTAGGAGATACATTATTATTATGTATTTATATATGATATATTGATTATATATTTTATGCGTAACTCTTTGCTTTTCCACCGCTTTTCTCCTTTGCAGGGTTGAAGCTGCCATTATTTATATACTCATCATCCTTCTCCTCCACCTTTTTTTCCCCAGTGATGAGTCCCCAAGGTCAATAAGCCGCCTTGACAAACAGGATAACCTCTGCGAGAAATATCTGGGATTTTTAATAAAACACCTCACAGGCTCTACTGGACAGTCCAGCAAAATAAAGATGTAACTTAAACTGCTCAAAGCCAAATCTGGGTGAAAATTGTTAATTTTCAGGAAATAAAGCTGCGGGATGCTGTAAATTGCTGATATGATGAAGGAAATCTGGGATACAAAATGACAAAACCCCATTTGCAGGCATGTGCTGTGTGTCTATTTTCAGAAATAGGGTGGGTTGGGCTTTTTATCTGTTGGTTTGTTGGTTTTGGTGGTTTTCTTTTATAAATAAGCAGCACTTGCTTATTTATAAATAGCGCTTGCAGCCTGGTAACGCGCTTGCGCATCAGTCTGCATCCCTTTCCCCTTGTGTTATCAAAACTGATGTGCTTTAAAACTACATCAGTGGGTGGTTCACTTTTGCAAGGAAAATGGGGGGGGGGGAAGGAGAATATTAGAATATTGCATTTTTCTTCTTTTTAATATATATCCCACCTGTGCTGTGTAATGAAGCCGGAGAAATCTAGGGCTTGGCTGCTCCCAACATAATCCCTGCTGGTTTTCCCTTGTCTCTCTTACCCAGCAGGATCAGACTGCTTTTCATTTAAGAAATGTTGGATTTTTAGGTTGTGTTGGTGACAGGAAAGTGCAGGAAATGGATCTGAACACTGTGGGGAAGAATGTTACTGCAGCGAGCCAGCTGGGATGTGGCTGCCATTAACCTGGGACATCCAAAGGAAAACCCCTGTTTTCCTGTAGCTCTTTCCATCCTATTTGAGAAAACCAGCACCCAACGCTGCTCCCAGCACCTTTTCCAGCCAGCAAAGCCCTGGGCACTGTTTCAGCTGCAGTTTCCCTTCCTGCAGTGTTTCCCTCTGCTCCAGCTCCTTCCCAGCACCCTGGAAGTCATGATGGCACAGCAAAGGCACACAAGGAATACAACTCATGCCTCCCTCTCCAGCTCATCCCTCCCTCTGCTTTTCCCATTTCTCCTAGCTGACCAAGGGGATGCTGGGGGGAAAGGCACTTTCCAGCCTTTTCCCTTTATCATCTCACATTCCTCGTGCCACACCAAAAATCTCCAATTTGCCAACAAAACCTGCAAAAAGGTCTTTTTTGCTACGAAGCCACACTTTAACCACTGATTTAAAACCACTACACCCATGCCTGGCAGCTCCTTATTTAATTTAAATCCTCTTTTTAAAAGTCCAAGTTGCAAGAAGGATAATCTTTGGAGGTTTCTTATGGGATGCACCGTTGTATTCCCGGGAGCAACTTGGCCTCGCAGCAGAGTAGGATATCGGATACCTTCGCTGGGAAAGCCCGAGGAAATTTTATCCGCAGCCGCACCCAGCCTGGAGTGAAGAAATATTTGCATTTGCTGCTCCTTGGAGGGCAGCCAGGTCCTTCCCGCTCTCCTCAGCCTGCCAAGAGGGATTGCAAGGACTGCCGGGCTTATTCCAGCAGCCGAGGGAAGGGCAGGGCCCAGCCAGTGGCGTTCAGAGGGGTGGGATCCTCTCTGCCCTTGTCCACTGCCACTGGGATGAGAGACCTCAAATGGTTTTTAAATCTGGGTGGTCTTGGGGGGCTCCACAAGGTTTTGGGGAATCCCAGCCCCCCAAAATCCTATTGCTCCACGTGGGATGTGTTCAGTTTCCTTTTGCCAGCAAACCTGGGCACTGGCAGAAGTGCTCGTGACAGGGTGAGCAGCTCAAGGGTGGGCTGAGCCATCGCAGCCGGCGAGGGTTTGCTTGGCAGCAGGACGGGATCCAGCTCCCGCAGCCTCACCCCTGCAGGATCTCTCTCCTGCACGCAGCTTGAAATTCCTCGAGATCCTCCCGAGGGAAAACACGAGGTTGTGCTTTCCATAGTGACGCTCCCTGTGCCTCGGCTAGTAACACTTCTCCTCTTATCTGGGAAGAAAAAGGCTTAAATCAGCCTTTTATCCTCTTACCTCCATGTCCATCCATCCCTGTCCTTTGTCATCCTCCGCTCTGGGAAAAACATGCCAAATCTGACCATTTCTGCATCCATTTGTTGCACTGCCAAACTCTCCAGTTGTGCCTTTCCTTTCTCCTCTCTTTCCAGGACCTTCTCCAAGGCTTCATGTCAATAAAAGCATTTCCCTGCCTCCCTCCAGCCAAAACTCACCGCAGTCCCACTGCCAACAGTGCATTCTGGGTTGCTTTGTGGGGGAAATATCCAACCTCTTCCCACCATTCCTCTGTGGAGGGATAGCACAGCTTGGAATAACACATCCAAAACACCTCTCAGCGTCAGCACTTCCATCCTCCCCAAAAACCTTGCTTGGAAAAATACCCTTATTGCACAAAACCAAGCAACTCCTAGGTCTTCCCTTTCCTGCTCCCTTTGGCCACCACCACATCTTTTTACTTTTTTTTAGCATCATTGTGATGCCTGGTTTTCTCCACAGAATGACAAACTTTGGAAAGAGAGAGAGCTGACTTTGAGCACGGGAATTCCCTGGCATGGGACACGAGGTTCCTGCCCAACGAGACCCAAAGCCACCAAAGCCACCAACTTACGTGACCGGGACAAACCGCAACTTTAACATCTTATTTATAAATTTGTTTATAGCGAGTTACGAGCTGATTGATGGGCTGGAGACGCTCGTTAATGAACGCTGAGTAATCAGCTTTGTAGACTGGGAAGAGTCGTCAGGAAATAGTTGTTGATGTGATTAATTAACCATCATTAACCCCTTCATTCATAAATACAGCACGCGCCAGAGAGATGTTGGAGGTTACCAGGAGCCCAGAGCTGCTGCTCTGGTGGTGGTTTTCTTTGTTTACAGCTCCCTCTTTCCATCAGGAAAGCATTAAACATCATCTCCCATGCTCTTGCTATTTTCTGTTCTCTATTTGTGGCTTTTTAAGCACTTTCGGTTAAAAAGAAAGTTGAGATGTTTCTCCGCCTGGTTTGCAACGCCCTCACGAACAAAACCACCGAGCACCGGCAACATCGGTTGTGCAGATGTTGGATGTGCAGAGAAATGGTCTAATTTCTGCTGGTTTGGGGCTTGGACTAAGAGAAGATCAAAAAGTTTCCAATGACAGAGTGGTATTATCTCGAAAAACGTGCAGAAACGGGGCTGTTGGATGCATTTAGCTGGAGTTTTGCTGCCTGATGGAGGAATTTGCGCTCCAGCTGCCCTCTGCCGGCTCCAGGACAGACAGCCAGCAAAAAAACCCCAAATCACCACCTAAAACCCTTTTATCAACAGCATGAAATCACCAAATCCCAAATACACTCCCAAAAAACAACCTTGGCTCTCCCCCGGGTGACAGTGGCATCTGCCAAATAGCCGTACCCCAAAATCAACTGTTACGGACCTGAATGACCTGACTTGCCACGCCTATAAAATCCAAAAAGTGACTTTTTTCCCTTATTTTTAAACTCAGATTTGATAGGTTTGGAATGCAGGGCGGATGAAAGGAATGAGAGTTTTTAGACTTGGGGTTTTATTTAACTGCGAGTAACTAAATCAGTGCCCACTCTCTACAGAGAGAAATATTTCAGTGAAACCCCAAAGAAGCTCAAGAAGGAAGAAAAAACACCCCAAGAAAACCAAACTGGCCTTGAAGAAGGAGTTTTAAAAAAGAAATAAAGAATAAAACTTCTGCTCTGCCATTGCTGCTCTGTGAGGGCATTTCATGTTCATGGTGAGCGCAGAGCTGTGTCGGGACACATCCACACTGCTCCCCTGGCCAGCCCTGGGTGTCGGGGTCCCAGGTACATTTTGGAGATGAAAACACCAGTTCTGCAGGAATTTTGAGGTGCAGCAGGCACCCAGGGTCACCCTCAAAACACCCCCTTTCTGGTGCCTGGCACTGGAAGACAGAGATGGATGAGGCGTGGGGTCTCAGCAGGACGACTCGTTCCGCCAGCGGACGTGGCAGGACTTGCAGAGGAGGTGGCTGTCCAGGGGGTAGCACCCGTCCTCCGTCAGCTCTGGAGACAGTGGCGTCCCACAGCTCTGGGGGTGAGAGGGGAAAGGGATAACATGTTTTAGGGGGTCCTCATGTTGCATCACATCCCGTTTTCCTGCAAAACCCACCAGCGCTTGGAAAAAGCACAAACTACATCAAAATCCTGCGAAGCCGAAGGTCTCCTCCAGATACATCATCACCACCACCACCTGATTGATTGATTTATTTCCCCCTCCCCATCGCTTACTGTGGGATAACAAATAACCCCGGGGGCTGTGCACCCTGTGCCAGCCAAGGCTCAGTGCCCTCCCCTCGGCTTTGGGGGCCCCCAGCCCCGCCGGGGCTGTACCTCGCAGCGGTAGCAGCTCTCGTGGAAGCTGCGTCCCAGGCACTCGATCTTGTAGGTGTCCTTGTCCTCAGAGGGGACGATGGGGCGCTGGCAGGCACTGCAAACCGCGGCATATTTCCTGGCAGGGGCAAACAGCAGTGGTGTGACAGGGACAGCCAGACCCCAGCTCCCAAACCCCAGCTCCCAAGCTGGGGGACGCTCCCCCGTTGCCAACCTGTAGAAGTCGGGCACGCAGTACACGTCACCCTGCTCGTCCACGGCAAAGCTCTCGGCGCCGATGGCGCGGCCGCAGCCGGCACAGGAGAAGCAGCCAGGGTGGAAACCCTTGCCCAGGGCACGGACGATGCGCTCCGTGATCAGCCCCTGGCACTTGGCACATTTCTCCAGCGTGGCCTGGGATTTAGGGAACACACGGCGTGAGATGCCAGCTCCCACCCCGAGGGTGCTGGCTGTCCCCAAGAGAGGATGGTACCTGGTAGCAGGTGTCACACATGGGCTGCCCATCCCTCTGGAAGTAGCGCTGCCCGGCCAGGAGCCGCTGGCACGTGCGGCAGGTGAAGCAGCCGGGGTGGTACTGCTTCCGCATCGCCTCCACCGTCGGCTCCCGCGGCCCCAGTGCTTTGTGGCAGAAGGCACAGATGTCTGTGGGAAGCAGGGACAGGGGTTCGGAGCTGCCTGACTCAGTCTCCCTAACTCGGGATGAGCCCATGCACGGCTTTGTCCCCCTTACCTCTGGAGCCGTCCCGCTCCGGGTACCCGTTCGCATCCTGCCGCTGCGGCTTGTCCACTTGCTCCTGGCAAAGTTTGGGCGGCTTTAATTCAGAAGGGGCCGGGAGAGCAGGGGAGGGTGAAGCCACATTATTTATGCTCCTGCAGGTGGGGAAACTGAGGCACT